GTCCCCCGCCCCGTGGCGCGGCGCTCGCGCGGCCGCAGGGCCCGCGCACCGTTCCCTGCGGGAGGGGGACGCCGTGGGCAGCGCTGCCCGCGTTTGGGCCTCGGGCGCGGATCCCGGCACGGGGCTCGGGGTCTGCTCCTCGCTGTCCGGATCTTCCGGCTCCCTAGCGGGCGTGCGCTGCCCCTGTATGTTTTCCACGCGCGACACTCTTCTTCCGTGGCCGTTTTGGTGAGGCTGGCTCTGCCGTCACGTCGCGCTCCCTCCCTGCCCACAGCCCCCAAGCTACACGTTATTTGCTGGAGTTACATGTACGATGTGTGCAAGTTCGGAGACTTCCTTTTTTGCTTACCTTGCCGGGTCACATATATAATGGTGTGTTTATTTGGGGGGGCTTCTCCTTTTTTTTTTTTTTTTTTTTTAAGATTATTTAAGAGTCAAGAGAAACTGAGCTACAGGTGCTGCTTATACAGAGCAACAAACAGAAGTACCCCCAGAAGTCTAACGCGCAGATATCTTATTTTGTGCCTTGATGGTAGGAGTAGTCACGCTTAGCGGCCTGTTAGGGCTCTTAGTGTGACTCACTTGCCAACCATGTAGATCTTCTCTGGACTGTGAAGGTTTTTAGTGTGTGGCTTCACAGAACTTGGACTTTTTTAGTCAGCAAAATATCTGTATAGATTCTAGGAAGTGTTCGCATAGCTTGGGAGCAGCTGTTTCATGAAGGGGCACGCATGGGTTGCGAAGCAGGAAACAGAACTGGTGTGGATTTTTGCTCCTTGGCATGGCAGGAGGGGTCAGCCCTCTGTCATGGGTTCCAGCGCTCCCTCCTATTCCTGCTCTGTCAAATATTTCACTGAGTCTTGGTTAAACAAAGATGAGGATAGTACCTGAGTTTGGGAGGATACAGGCATTGCGTGGTGGGGTGGGTGATAGAAAGGTGGAAGGAATGAGGTGTATGTACTGAGGTTAGCAAAAGTCTATAGGATGTGTGACTCTTGGCTGCATGAAGGCTTTGGTATGCAGCAAGAAGGGGCAATGAGTGTGTCTTCCCCTAATTTGCCACATTTTTTTGTTCTTAATGTAGCCTCTCTTCAAAACAAGGAAGTTTCAAAGTGTTAGATATGGCACCAGATAAACCACAGCTTGTACTGCTGCCCCAGTGACTTGTCTGTGGAAGCACAAGCTCTGTCTTGTACTGTGGAGGCAAAGGAAGCAGTGTGCCACCAAATGTGACCTTCCAGTCCTGCTTTTATTTACTGTTCATTCTGCTGCTTCTTCACAAGTTAACTGGCCAAAAGGTAAATCTGGTGCTTTAAGCTGCAGTGTCTTGCTTGTCTTCTGTTTGCTTGTCGCAAGGGCTGCAGAGGTCACAGTATTTGCAGCTGTTCTCTTAAGCTGAAGTGAAAACTTGATACTGTATGTATGTATCCATTTAAAAATTTCAAATGAGAGTTAGTTCCCATAAAACAGCAGTCAAAATGTCTTGTCAGACAGTACTGGCTGTTAACTACTCTGGATGTTTAGCTAAGAGCTCTGAGTTACTCCCTGTGGGAACTCTGATCTCTTCCCACTTGCTAGATAGAGAACTTCAGCTCCTCTAGGCCTGGACCTGTGTGAACAGCAGATGCCTGTGGTAGTTTGGGTGCGTGTTTCCCTCCATGCTTACTTCTAAAAGTGTTGTTTTTTATCCTATGTAGAAAACATATTGTTTTTTCATGCTGATTTTCTTTATTTCTCCCCCTCAGAGCATGTGAAATGGCCGCAGATGACAAGAGATCTCCGACACTGGAGGCTACCAGTGATCTACCTCATTCTCCCAGCAGCCCCTCTCATCTCACCCACTTCAAGCCCCTGACTCCTGACCAGGATGAGCCCCCCTTCAAGTCGGCCTATAGCTCTTTTGTGAATCTCTTTCGTTTCAGCAAGGGTAAGTGTTTGTGTATATTGTCAATAAAACTGTCTGTTTTACTGATCTCTGCTGCCAAATAGATGTGTAAAAGCGCCTGGGAACACAGCAAAATAATTATTTTAGACTGCTGGCTAAGTAGATATTGAGTCAGTCTCTTGTGAGGGATTTTACATCTTGCTTTTGGGCAAGGTGATTGGGCTTTGCCATTGGAGAAGATAGCCAGCATTTTGCAGCTAAAAATCTGTGGCTGCAGTGAAGGATCAAGACAAGCCAGCTAACAGATGGTGTTACACAGTTTCTTAGCTGGGCCAATGTTCCTGCCTGTAGGAAGCTTCCAAGATGAAATGCAGAAGGCTCTACTAACCTTCAGGAGCAAGATGTGTGCCTGTCCTTTTTAGTGCAAGTTCCTACCAGGCTTCTTCTACTCCTGACCCTCCTACGCATCTCATACCTTTGTCTAGGTGGCAGCTGAGCTGTAAGAAAGCAGTGCATTTATAGAAAATGCTTACTGACTTTGCACTGCTGCAGGTACTCCCAGTCAAGAGCTCTGAAGTGTGGTAAAAGTCTTTTATGCAGAAAGTACCGCTTGATGGTGGTGTTTGTGCTACATATATCATGAAGCACTTAAGCTCTCAAAAGATGAGCTCTTAAAGAATTATGTTTTTTTCTTTGTTGCATAGCAGAATATTGTATAGAGAGGTAAATGAGAACTCCTGTTTTGTACAATACCCACATATCTCTGGCCGGAGATGGCAGCTGGTCAGCTGCTTTTGTTTAGTCTGTTCATTGTCCAGATCTTGCTAAGCATACTTCTGCTCTGTTTGGGCTAGGTAGGAAAAGGGTGAGAAAGCTTTTTGTATAAACAAATTGATCTGCTAAGACACTTTTTCTACAGGATGAAAATAATTATTTGTTATGACTGCTC